GGAGACGTAACCTTCTCAAGTGGAAAAACAAATGCTCCTTTCTCTGTGGTCATTCCTACGGATAGTTTTCTTAAGTTTGGTTCTTTCTTTAAGATGCAGTTGTTAGATACGCATCTGGTTGGAGGTGGGTACTTTTTTTAGTATGAGTGTGTAGAATAGCCAATGTGTACGACCACGAATCCTTAGCACAAAGCATGATGGGAAACCGAGTACGTAATGTTTTTCAGCTCATCTAAAAGACCCTCTGACAGTTTTTCCTACGACATTTTCTATGAAACTGTAAGTAGTTCAACAGACGAAACTAACAGAGTAATTTTTTTCTAATAATTCTATTGATTTCCTTGTTCTGATTTGCGTAGTACTGTGTTTCCCATCATTCTTTTTGCTAGAGGTTCGTGCTTGTACACACTCCCTATTGGCGAGAGACTAGTTTATAGTCCATGTAGTTCATAGAACCTTTGCACCGGCTAATTTCCAATGTTTGGGCTCAAAACCAATTGAAATTTGGAATTGAAGTTTTTTTAGATTGATATTTTTTTCTGTTTATATTTCCTCGTTACATTTTACTTCCATAAGTCAATATTTTTGGAACCTTGATATCGATCATTATAACAAAGCCAGATTGAGTAGCGCGCTATGTAATGAAAACTTCGTTAGAACAAAATTTGATTTTTTGATTTTTGATTTTTTTGATTAACGAATTTTTTCCTTACGGTTTTTCTATTATGAAAGCAATGGTCTATGCTTAGCTGTGCGTATATCCAGTTCTGGATGCACTTGGGAGGTTGCTTAAGCACTCAAGAAGTTAAAATTGCACTCGGCTACGCTTTTTTCGTGCTTAGAAACCTCCCGTGTTCATCCAGAACTGGATATACGCACAACTAAGCATTGACCATTGCTTAATTAAATGAAGGACATTAAAAAAAAGAGTTTGTCAGTTTGTACCCAAGTAGAGATTTAGTGGAGGAGGACGTAGTTTGAGCTCTCTCCTCTCTGGTTTTCTCCACATTACATCAGTTTTTTTCCTTCTAATTTCTAGATCTGCCTATCATCAAAGCCAAGACTCCCACACTAGGTAACAGAAGCGTAATTTACCTGAACGTCACAGCATCAGACATCGATGGTGAAATTGGTTTTGAAAAACTCCATCAAACCATTCTCGTCCAGGAACCAGAAGGACCTTCATCAAGGAACGTTATTCTACTGGTGGTCAGAGATGTGACTGCAGGACGTGCCACAGCTGAATGGACCATATCTAGTAGCAACCCTTCTTTTTATGCCAGCGATATTGGAGCAAGTCGAGGAATGATAACATTTGAAAAAGGTGAACAAAGAGCATTAATGTTCAGCTTTATTTTCTGATTTGTTCACTGGTTTCAAGTAGTTGTAGGTTTGCTGTAAATGTCAGCATGGTTACATGATAGGTCAGTAGAGTATATTGAAAGACTTGCTGATTGGATGGTTACCTTGGTGGCTGACTTCTGATTGGCCAGTAGAGTATTGAAAGACTTGCTGATTGGATGGTTACCTTGGTGGCTGACTCGCTGATTGGATAGTTGAGTGATTTCAAGACTTGTAGCTGATTGGGTGGTAACCGTGGTGGCTGACTTTTGATTGG